TGTAGTGCCAGTGAGAAATGCTCGGGGTAGTTGTTTGCCGTGAATTTGGATTGCCTTAGTTACAGTGCTAACTACAGCACGCAGCTGTTCTCTAGGTAGGAGCAGCCTGTGTTTCTAGCATCCCTAGAATCCCAAGGGGTGGAGCCTTGGCCTCTGGTTCTCTATCCTCACAGTACCTGGTACTAAATGGGGCACAGTAAATGATACTCTGTAAGTATCATTTGATTGTACAGTCTTTTAATCTCAGAAACAGAGAGGGCAGATGCACCCTCGTAGGGAAGCTCCCTATGAGTCAGCATTGACTTGATGGCTGCCAGTTTGGTTTGGTTTTGGTAAGTCTTGGTAATTCGATTAGACACTAATTCCAACATGAGGTTTCTTAATTCAAGTGAAGGCAAACATTTTGTTTCTGTCTTCTCTAGGAAGGTGACATGGCGAGGCGTTTATCTTTGGTCTTGATCCTGACCTTCTCTTTGCTGGCCTGTGTCACAAGTCCCTCAGCTGCGTTCCCTCAGACTACTGAGAAGATTGTTCCAAGTTGGGAATCGGGCATCAGTGTTGACTTGGCACTGACTACCCAGCGGCACCATCTCCAACAGCTCTTCCACCGCTATGGCGAAAACAACTCCTTGTCAGTCGAAGGATTCAAGAAGCTGCTGCAGAACATAGGCATTGATAAGATGAAGAGAATCCATGTAAACCACGACCATCACCACTCTGACCACGACCATCACTCTCACCACAGCCGAGCCGCTTCTGGTAAAAATAACCAGAAAGGTCCGTGCCCTGAGCATGAGTCTGACGGTTCAGGCAGAGATGCTAGAAACAGCCAGGGGAAAGGACCCCGCCGACCAGAAAATCCCAGTGTTAGAAGAAACGTTTTAACCAAGGATGGCATTGGTGCTAGTGAAGTGACCTCAACTGTGTATGACACCTTCTCTGAAGGAACTCACTTTCTGGAGACCATAGAGACTCCAAAGCCTGGGAAAGCCCTCCTTTTTAAAGAGGGCAGTGGTTCCACCCCACCCAGCATCACAGAGAAGAGCCACGTGAGCCGGCATGCTAGTAGCAGAACCAATGAATCCATGAGCGAGCTCAGGAAAGGCTTTATGCATTCCAAAAGCACAACCGGAAATCCTCAGGAGGTAAGCTGGGTGTTTTGCTAACTGTCCCGTCTGCCCTCCCATCGCCACCTCTCTACGGTTACAAGCTGAAAATAATTGTAAAACTTTTGTAAGCTTATTAAAACAGGAAATCCTATCTCCTCAGAAAGGCACTTAGCACAATGTGTATCTATTACGCATTAAGACCTTGATACAGAATTGGGGAAATAGTTCTTTGCTAAGTGTAATAGTGTGCTGTGTAAGATTAAGAAGAAAAAAAAAGAATAAAAGAGTCTTGGTGGTGCTGTGGGTTACACACTGGGCTGCTAACCACATAGTCAGCAGTTTGAAACCACCAGCTTTTCTATGGGAGGAGAATGAGGCTTTCTACTCCTCCCATAGAGTTACAGTCTTGGCAAACCCACCAAGGCCCTCTGTTCTGTCCTGTAGGGTCGCTGTGAGCCAGAATTGACTCAATAGCAGTGCGCTTGGAAATTAAAAATGTGTATGAAAAGCAGATATCAAAGTTATAGCTTAGTAAACAAAACTAAATAGTCATTCAAAGCCATCTCCAACTGCCCTATGGAGCAGTTTTGCCAGCAGCAAACACCGATGATGCCGTTTCTTCTGTGGATTATTGGCTGAAAATGGAGAGTTCAAAATATCTTTACGAAAGATGAGAAACAAGCCTTAGCAGCCTTTTTTTTAAAGGGGCAGTGTGGTCGGGGTTGCTAGAGGGTAGGTTAGGTAGAAGAGATCCACTTCAACTAAGCTTGCCATCCAATTAAATTGTTGAAATAATTACCACTTGCCAGAACAGGTTTATTACCTACCATTGCTCTCTGCAAGAGTAGTATGTATAGTATAATGTTCTCTCATTGTAGGTCATTACTTTGCCAGGTATGTAGTCAGAACTGAGCTGGGTTTTTGTACATAGGGCCAGTGGTGGAAGAGCAACATGCCCAGAGCCTGTTAGTACTCAGTCGACCGACTTCGCCATCTGTGGGAAACTCCATCTCAAAATTAATGCTCATTTCCTTTATAGGCGGATACAATGAGTTAACAGGCTTGTGAATGTCCATTCATCCCCAGGCTGGTTCAGCTGGAGGCATTTCCCCTCAGTGCCTGGTGATGTAACTGCTTCTCCCAAGGTGCAGTGGGCATACCACCTTTGTGACAGTTTCTCCTGTAGCTTGAGCCAAGTCCTCCACACGGAAGTTGATTTTAACTTGCATCCATGTAAAAAGATACAGAAGCAATTTGTGAGCAAACATGTTTGTGGGGTTCTCTAACGGGAATGCCCTGAGGGAACTAATGCTAGCCTCACTGCTTTGTTCCCTTCAGTGTTTCAACGCGTCAAAGCTGCTCGCGTCTCATGGCATGGGCATCCAGGTTCTGCTGAACACAACTGAATTCTACTATCTCTGCCCAGCCATCATCAATCAAATTGATGCTCGATCTTGTCTGATTCACACCAGCAGTGAGAAGAAAGCCGAAATCCCTCCAAAGGCCTATTCTTTGCAAATTGGTATGGTTACCTTTTTTTTTTAAATGTAAACCTAGCTCCCAGTGGACTCGTTTGTGCTGCCCTTGTCCTCATATGGACATCAACCTCCTCTTTGGTTTTTCAGTGTCATTCCAAATATATCGTCTTCACTGGTCCCTCCCCAGAATGTGAGGAAAGCAAGCGTGATATTGCCCCCTTCCCCTGTAAAACACATTAAAATAAAACTCAAGAGTATGACTTGTTTGAGGTCATCCCATAGGAAGTGTCAGGATCTTTTGACATTTGGGCTTTTTTATGTGATGTGACACTGTTGGGAGCAGGGGCTAGGATTCTGAATCTCGTGTGTTCTTACTGTATTGTCTGAAGTCATGTTCTCTGTTTTACCTCTATGGGTTCTGATGTCCCTTGCAATGGCTACACTGACACTCAGAGACAAAATTCTTGATTAAAGTGTTTATTAATGAAGTGAACAAATTGTAGTGCCAGTGAGAAATGCTCGGGGTAGTTGTTTACCAGGACATGTTTCAGGTCTACTAGTAAATGCACAAAGGGGCACACCACTCAGCTGTAAACCTCACCCAGAAGACATGCAGCGTAAACTGTGTGAGTCAGCAAACCCAGGTCCTTGAATTAAGTGCCCAGAGGCAACACACTCTGTGAGCCAGCTGCCCGCACAGAAACACTGAGCTGTCCTTGCTCTGTGGGTTGGAAAATCCATCACTCTGTCCCACACTCTGGCTGCTGCTCCTCAGATGGTATAGCTGTCTTCTGGATCCAAGAGATTTTCTGTGCAAAGATCTCGGGTCCATAGGACATACTCCATTCCTGGCTCAAATGTGCTTGACACAATGGATGGATGGATGGATTGTGATAAGAGCTGTAAGAGCCCCCAATAAAGTAATTTAAAATAAAAAGAACGAGAAAATAAAAGATACCCTCCCCTGCTATTTGGGACTCATTTTATACACAGCAGGATGGCATTGCAGGAAATCCTATTCATAATTATTCACAGGCAAATCCTATCGGGATCTTCCCAGCACCTTCTTAACAAACCCATGCAGGAAAAGGTCATTTGGTGGGAGTTAGACACTTTGGCTAGATGGACCACATTAAATAATGCACTGCCCTTGCACTGAATGATAACTGTTTGCTATTGGTGGAGTCATCTTGCTCAAAAAATATGAGAAGGAATTGCTTTGTTTCCTGCCAGAATGGAGCTCTTTTCCCCCATATTTTCTTTTTTATTTTTAGTTTGTATCTCTTGTCTTTCATAATTAAGCTGTACAGGAGTAGTATAAAAGCTTACTTGCTGATTGAACTAGAATTCATCTTTGATGACCACTTTCCCTACTGCTCTCCCATTATTTTCTCCCTGGAAATTTTCTCACGGGGTCTGTTCCTTTTACATAGAGGGTTTACAAGTACCAGTGAGGTTTTTAGTGTGAGCCAACAGTTATTGTTTCAATGAGCACAGTTCTGTTCACACTAAATTTGTAATTCTTCAGATTTCGTGCTTTTTACAAATTGTTCTATGCCATTCTCCAAAAGTGTCTTAAAATTGACCGATGCAATTTTCCTCTGTTTTGTTTGACAGCCTGGGTTGGTGGCTTTATAGCTATCTCCATCATCAGTTTCCTGTCCTTGCTTGGTGTCATCTTGGTGCCTCTGATGAACCGGGTGTTTTTCAAATTTCTCCTGAGTTTCCTGGTGGCGTTGGCCGTTGGGACGTTGAGTGGTGATGCCTTTCTACACCTTCTGCCACACGTAAGTACGGTAGTTTGCTCACTCGGTGTGTTTGATAACAAAATTCAAGTGGATTTTTAAGTTTGTATTGTAATTCTTTGTATGGATACATATAAATGGTTCAAAATTTGATTTGAAGAAGTTGGTTTACAGTATATTTGGTAATAGAAAGTTGCATTTTTAGGATTAGATGTTGGTCATATTCATCTTTGTTTTTCTTTTCAAAGGAACTTCTTAAATACAAAGTAGTTTAACTTTTTGGAACATTGTAAATAAAAGGAGACACGTTCTCCTTGGATGTTAATTCTGTGACAGACTAACATTGTGTATTATCTACGTATCTGTTACTTTAAATGCCACAGAATAAAACAGGTGAAGTCTTAAACGGCTTGGCAACATGAATTGATTTTGTCATTAAATAGTATGAGGTGCTCAGGCTAAAAACAATGTTTGGCTCTCTTTTTGAAAATTTCTTGTAGAGTTTTGTGCAGGTAGTGGGAAAAGGAAATGGCTGATTTCCCAGAGCACTACACATCCCATCACATTCAGTTGAGTGGTGAAAGAAAACTGTCTTGCTATGACAAACTCTTTCACCAGGTATTCTTGAGTACCTGCTGTATGTGCTTGGGGTGGGCCCTGAGTCGTCGTCCCCCACCCCCGCCCCGGCCCCCCAGCTTCCATTTGATAGCGTATCCCATCTCTGAGTCCCCACCATGCAACAGCACTCATTGCTTGTGCACTCAGCAGCAGGCTGCCAGAGCAATGTATCTGGATCATCTCGGGTACCTGCCAAGGCCTTTCACTACACACAGACTAGGCTGTTTATAAGCATACCAGTGATAGGGGAATGGTTTCAAATTGGAACTCTAGTCCAGATACTATCTGGACTGTTTCATTTGACCTACTGTTTGAAACAAATTCATTTATAAAATGCATATTTTCTCTTTAGTCTCATGCCAGTCACCACCACAGTCACAGCCATGAGGAATCACCAGTGGAAATGAAGAGAGGACCATTGTTCAGTCATCTGTCTTCTCAAAGCATAGAAGAAAATGCCTACTTTGATTCCACATGGAAGGGTCTGACAGCCCTAGGAGGCTTGTATTTCATGTTTCTTGTTGAACACGTACTCACATTGATCAAGCAATTTAAAGATAAGAAGAAAAAGGTAAGGAAAAGCATACCGAGTCTTTCCTGTTCTTCAGATGTTTGTTCAGAGCAGGACTGTAATTTGATAGTTAGAACAGCTTGCCCAGAACACTGTGATTCCATTTTGAGTGTGTGCACAGTACCCACGAGGTACTTTCTGCTTCCAGAAGCATTAGTGGAGAGCAGTTCTGTAGCTTGATAACTGTGGAGCTTTGTGCCTTTAGTATTTATTCCCTTCTAACTCAAGGGAGACTAAGAAAAGCTGGGCTAAAGGTCTACATAAGTCTAACAAGTTGCGGGCAGGGCTTGGAAGATCAGAAGCTTCATGAATACTTATTGATTGGTGATTTGGATTCACTGTTGTGATCAATTTAAACTATTCACCAAGTAGCTCAGTATTCTGTTTTATTTCAGAGATTATGTGACTTACATAAACGTATCATTCGCCAATCACCACCACAAAATAGTACAAATCTAAATAGTAGGGTCTTTATTTCTGAATTGAAAGAAAGTGTCAAGCTGCCTGTGGTTATCTGCTTATCCGATGTTCTCAAAAAATTCAGTCAAAATAACCTATCAGAATAGAGATCCATACAAATGACTTGTTTGTCTTGGACCTTTATCCTGAACTTAAAAGCCTATTAATACACTCAAGTCCTAGTTTTTTAAAATGGAGACCAGAATGTTCATGGAGTTGAAGTTTGTTTCTCCCTAACAACCATGCGGGTTTGTCTACAAATTTCAATTTCTCTAAAATCAAGAGATTATACTATAAAGCTGTTTGTAAGTGTAGGGACTAGATTTTGGAAATTTTAAAAATTGTATATAATGGTTGCCTACATAATTTGTAGCCATATTTTAGCATCTTGTCCTTGAGTCTGTTAAAAGCCTCATTTTCATAAGAGTTGTATGAGCCCCTAATAAAATGATTAAAAAAAATGTTAAGTTCTTTAGACAAGGTATTTAATTTTAAGATTTAAAATAAAGCCTTGACAGGGAACAAACACACATTTATAATAAAAGCTTATGAATGAAAAGATTTAAAAAATAAATAAAAGCCTCATTTTTACAAAAGTAGCTGTTGACATCATTTCATAGTTTGAGCGATATGTAATTGTACAATAACAAGTATGACTGGCTTGAAAACAAATGAGACCCCACAGCTGATCCGTGGTGAGCAGAAGTATGAATTGGAGGGGGACCTTCTAGTCCACTCTGTGGACATTTCCTTACAAGGTTTTACCCCTCTCTCACTGTCATCAACTCAGTTCTGACTCATAGCGACCTGTAGGACGGAGACCTGCCCCAGTGGGTTTCCAAGACGGTGATTCTTTATGGGAGTAGAAAGCCAAGTCTCTCTCCCTCAGAGTATCTCGTACTAGCTGGTACCACCACAGCACCAAAATTGTAAGTTGAAAAATCTGAATCCCTCTCTTTAGTGAGCCCCTACTGATTAAGAGGTGAAATGCGAGGACCTAATGTCTGGGGTTTAAATGGAGAGAAAATGTTTTGAGAAATGATGTACAAATGCGCTTTACACAATTGATGTGTGTATGGATTGGGATAACAGTTGTATGAGCCCCTAATAAAATGTTTAAAAAAAAAAAAAAAAAGAGGCGAAATGCAGATATCCATTCTTAATCTAAAGGAGCCCTGGGTGGTGGTGTGGGTTAGGCATTGGGTCACTAACCACAAGATCAGGAGTTCAAACCACCAGCTCCTCTTCTGGGGAGGATGAGGCTCTCTGCTCCTGGAAAGATGTGTGGTCTCAGAAACCCGATACAGGGTTGTTAGGAGTCAGGATCCGCTCAGTGGCATTGGGTTTGGCTGTTTGTGTTTCTTTTTTGTATTCTGAATCTAGGGCGTCATCTTCCATGTTGCCCAAGTTGTTTCACTTGGGCTAGTTTGAGAGGATACAGCCTAGTGTTTTAGATCTTCTGGAATGATTCTTACTTTTACAAGGAATGATTGTTTTTATTCTTTTAACTCTGTTTTCTAGTTCAAATGTCTAATTAACATCCAGTGTGCAATTTGTGTTCAAATTTTACTAACACATAGCTTTGCATTAATCTGATAATCTCAGAAGTAGGCCCCTCTCTATTGTAGAGCAGTTTTTTCTAATTCTACACTGCATTCTGTTCATGGGTTGTAAAGTGGTGGCACTGTGGCTAAGTGCTTGACGGCTCACTGCGCTGTCAGCTGTTTGAGCCCACCAGCTGCTCTGCTAACAGAATGACAGCTTGAAAGCCTCTGAGTAAGGCCTACTTTGTTCAGGAGTCCTGGTGGTGCAGTGGATACACACTCAGCTGCCAACCCGAAAGTTGGTGGTTCCAACCTAGTAGCAGCTCCGTGGGCAGAAAGACCTAGAACTCTGTGTCCATAAAAATTAGGAGGCAGTTCTATTCTGTCCTACAGGGTCGCTGCTTCACAACCCACAGCAATAACACAAGCAATTTTTCCTTATTTTATTGGGGTATTTTATAAAACTAGATTGGATTATTTATACCAAACTGTGGGAGGAGTAAAGTACAAAATATATGTATTACTGTGGATTATTGTAAAAAAAAGTTTTATAATTTTTGCTATAACAGTAATATTTATTAGAATAGAAACATTTTAAGAGGCAGGAATTCTCTCTTATTTACTGCTTTATCTACAATTCCTAGAGTAGTGTTTGGCACAAAGCTGATTGGTAAATAAGAATGTGTGAGAAACAGTACACTGCAAATTAGCATAATTTCTAGGCAGACTTCCCATATTCTCTCCAGAAATATATGAAGATTGTCTTATTGCAAGGGCATAAAAGTGTATCTTGCTAGCTGTTTGTAGTTTTATTTTGTTTGCAGAATAAGGAAAAAGCCCTCTTATGAGTACTGAGAGTCCTCCTAATGCACATCAGCGCATGTCACCCCGCGTTTCCGTACTAGACGCAGCCTGTACACTGGGGAGATTCTCCGTAGCATAGTTTTATCTCGCTTGCCACACATACAACCTGAAATCTCTGTATTGGAATTAGGGTGCCATCTCCTGCACAATTAGGCCTTTCTAATAGTTGAATCTCAAACTGACTTTCTACCAGGGAGGGCTATTGCTTTTGCTGGAAATTGAGAGTTATCTGGGACAACCCCTATATACAACCCGTGTTTTTTCCTCTCCTTCCTCCCTGTTGTCTTTCTAGTTCACACTGTGGTTGTCTTCCCAACTGGGTGACAACAGCTGGCTCCTAAGTATGTCTTTTTTCCTTTTCTCCTAATCTAGTTTTCACAGAGCAGGTGAGTTTTTTAAAAAGCAAAAATCTGGTGATGCTGCACTCAGTACTTAAAATCCCTCCTGCAAGGACTTTCCATCGCCTTTAAAGACAAAGTCCCCAGCCCGTAACATGATTTGCTGTCTTCTCTCCTCTGGCCAACCCCGCCACGCCCCTCCCATCTGTAGCCACTTTCTCTGATCTGCTGGGCCCCAGCATCCTGGCACCTACTTGTTAAACGTGCATTGTGAGGCTGGTTTCTCCTGTTTCAAGGTTCTTCCATGTGCTTCCCAGCCGAGTCCTCCTTATCTTTAGAGCTTGGCATAATTGACTCCTCCAAGACAAGGAAGCCTGTCTGAGGCTTACAGCTGTTACCCACTCTCATGCAGCATTTTGTAAAACTTAACAATTGCAATCAAAGAATTGTATCATTGTATGCATAAAACTTCCTCCCTGTGGAAGATAAGCTTCCTAAGAACAGAGACTGCAAGTATCTTATCGGTTCTATCACCAATACTGCACATCGAGGACATTACGGACCTTTAATTAGTACATGCAGAACAAAAGAGTGGGCTATCCCCACCCACCTATTAGTTTGTTGTACTGTGGGGTCGACTTGTTGCTATGATGCTGGAAGCTCTGCCAGCAGTGTTTTCAATACCAGCAGGTTCTTCATGGTGGTCTCTGATAATTAGCATGGATCACAAGAGAACCTACTCTGGACTTGTGATCTGGGATATCGATCACTGGAGGAAGGAAAGGGCTGGTAAGAGTATGGGAGACGGACTTAGAATGAGATGGTTTTAACACAACAGCCAGAGTATTAGGCACACTCATGCTGGGGATTTGTGAGGACACAGAACTGGGGAACGTTGAATTCTGTTAGACTTAAGGGCACAAAAGGGTGACTCAACAGTGGCTAAAAACAACCACCTAAATGTGGAGGGCCATCACCCAACAAAAGTGATGTAAGATACCCAGAATTCACATGTTCACAAATACCTGGGAACTAAAAGAAGCCATGGGAAAATTGCATTTGTTTGTCATTTCATTTTCCACAATCTTTTTGGAACCCCTTTTTATTTAAGTACTTCCTTTGGCTCAGAAATTATAGTAGGAGTAAGAATTTGTATGTTTACTTTTCAAACATCTCATAAGCCAGGTGTGTACAGCTCTTGGATAACGTTTTCGGAGCCTGGGTAAACCTCAGATGTGGTCGTGATTACTGCAGTCAGACTCAGGTTCCACAAATGAAAATCTCGTGATTGTGTGGTGCTTTTCATCATCTTGATTGTGATCTTCAGCATAAATAGGTCATGCAGAGGTACTATTATTGTTCAAACAGTGACTCATTGCCTGGACTCTGCGGCAATACCTCGGACATGGTATTTGAGATGGGTAAAAGCCTACTTGATAAGTTCAAGGCTAATCGAAACTTGTTTAAAAAGAAGACGCTTATTTATGTTTTACTACAGGAAAAGTATTTGATTTTAAAAAACAAAATATTACAGAATAGTATCAGGTTTTTAAAAGTACAGGAAGTATGGGGTTTTGATGTACAAAAAGAAATATAGAGGAACTCAAACAATTGATTAATAAATCAATAAACGACTAAAGGAAATGACTCTAACTAGTTCAAGATTGGTAACCTGAGATAATACCTCTCAATGTTGAGGAACACGGGAAACACCTGGGGATCTTTTCATTTCCAGCGTCTTAGGACTGGATGTGGTTCAGATTGTGTTGCAGTGTGCAGACCACTCTGAGTACAGAACCTAGGGAGCATTCTAGAAGGTTAATGTATATCTTTATATTTATTTCAATTTATAGAGACATAAATTCTTTAACTTTCCGAATAATTCCTATGCCTTAATCCTAGATGGTGCAAAAATAAAGGGACAAATCCTGTCTTTAGATGGATTTATTCAGAGATATTTTTATTTGTATCTTTTGTTTAATGATTTACTTAAAACTGTACACGTAAGCAAATCAGCTATTTTAAAGCACGTCTTTCTGTTGCTGTTAGAATCAGAAAAAACCTGAAAGTGATGATGACATGGAGATTAAGAAGCAGTTGTCCAAGTATGAATCTCAACTTTCAGCAAATGAGGAGAAAGTAGACACAGATGATCGTAAGTCTTGATCAGACCATGTGAGGGTTGGAGAAAGTTTTACAATTGGTATGTGATTTGTTGGTAACTTGGACTATCTGGTAAAAATAGATATACCATGTCCTTTGTAAGAAAATTATTGCTGGACTAAACAAAGCAAAACATAACCAATGCAGCAATGTCCACCATGTACATTACAATAACATTTACTACGTTCTTTATGGTTTGAAACCATTCTCACCATTTTGGGGGTTATTCTCTCCCATGAAGATACACTCACTGCCCACTCAGGTTCCAGTCTAATCTTTCCACTTGGCGTTATCAGTTTGATCCATACAGATAGGTCTTCAAAGAGGGTAATGTTCAAGATAGACATTTTTATGAGTTAAACAGTTGTTTGGTCTTGGGGAGGAGATGAGCCAGACAGGGTGCGATGTAGCATCGATGAAAATACAAATTTCCTCTAGTTCCTAAATGCTTCCTCTGCCCCCCACTATCATGACACGAATTCTACCTTGAAAGTCTGGCTAGACCAGAGGGTGTACACTGGTATAGATAGGAACTGGAAACACAGGAAATCCAGGACAGATGATCACTTCAGGACCAGAGGTGTGAGTGGTGATACTGGGAGCGTAGAGGGAGAGTGGGTTGGAAAGGGGGAACCAATTACAAGGATCTACATGTGAGCTCCTCCCTGTGGGACGGACAACAGAAAAGTGGGTGAACGGAGACGTTGGACAGGGCAAGATAATGACAAAATAATAATTTATAAATTATCGAGGGCTCATGAGGGAGGCGGGAGTGGGGAGGGAGGGAAAAAATGAGGAGCTGATGCCGGGGGCTTAAGTGGAGAGCAAATGTTTTGAGAATGATGAGGGCAATGAATGTACAAATGTGCTTTACACAATTGATGTGTGTGTGGATTGTTATAAGAGTTGTATGAGCCCCTAATAAAACTATTTAAAAAAAAGAAATAGAAAAGATGGACATCTGTTTGGCTTGGCATTTAAAGCTTACATCCTCAATAATTTTAGGGGTTTGTTCAGCCTCCATGGCTCTAGAAAGACTGGATTCTGAGCATTTGAAGTTCGAGTCTTCAGTCTTCCTCTTTTGATCTGAAGAATTTTCAGGCAAAATATTCAGTAATGGTAGCTTGGCACCATTCAGCTGTTCTGGTTTCATGGCCAAGGAGGCGGTTGTTCTTGAAGCCATTAGCTACCTGTTTCAGATCCTCTTTCTCTTGCTCCAGCTGCATAGAAACCAGTTGTGCCTCCCTTGGCCACTTGCAAGCTTTCAAGACCCCAGGCACTATGTAACAAGCTAGGGAGGTGGAACAGAGCGCTAAACATGTTATTAGGCCAATTAACTGGAATGCCCAGGACCATGACCCTAGACCTCCAAAACAGTGACCCAAATCCCATGAAGTATTTGTTTGTACAAAAGCAGCTACTTGACAACTACTCTTTATTTTTTTCCTGTAAATAGATCTGAAGTAATGTGGCAAGGAGAGTTGTTGTAGTGGATGGTGACTGATTGATCATGGATGGTCTCCTGAAGAGACATGAGTTAGGATCTGATTGACACAGAGAGCAATTTGTGTAAAGATCTGGGAGAAGTGTTTTAGCAACAGTGATTGCAAAACCCCTGAGGCAAACTTGGTGGCTCGTAGTTTCAAAAGAAGTCAATGTGGCTGGGGCCCAGTGAACCTTGAGGAGATAGAGGGTAGAGGAGGACCTTGAAGGTCATAGTACAAAGTAGCTGCTCAGTAAACAGTTGCTGACTGAGAGCAGGGAAAACCTATACAAGGAGGCTTCAAAAAGGTTGTGGGGAATGGAATTAATGGAATTAAATGGTAATGGAATTTTCCATGGACTTTTTTGTTGAAGCCCCTTATGTTGTTTCAGCTGCCTGCTTGTAAGCCCTGTCCACCTTGATGCTTTCCAGCATGGCTCTGTAAAGAGCAAGTAGTACTGTTGCTCATCTTCTACATCTATTCTACATCTATTCTTGTTTAATGGACTCCAGCGAAATGTGTAATGATGAGAGGAAATAGCTGCTAGAATTCAACCACAATGTTACGAATACGTCCAAAAAATTTAGTACCAATGTACAGGAAAAAGACAAAACCTTATTGTTACAAGAGTAGCTGCTCATACTGCTTAGGCATACCCTAATAACACCTTGTGGGATTTGGGAGGAAGCGCAGAACAGAATCCCAGTTTCTCATGGAGTCCAGTCTTGAACCATGGAAGCCTGGGTGAACCTGACACTATTGCCCTGACATAATCTTTGGACCTTAAGCCAAATATCCCCCTGCAGACTGGAAAGCCAAACAGTAGTGTAACTAGTAAACAATGTTTGCCTTATTGTTATGGGATCAGACTGACAACCGCAACTCAAGAAAGGTTAGGAGGAAGCCTTCCTGAGGGAGGAACAAGGTGTGAGAATGGTTGTAGAACTTGAGGAATGTAGTGATGTCATCAGGGGCTCAAATTGTACACAGAGGAAGTGTTGGATTGCTGTGTGCTTTGTATACTTGCAACAACAAAAATAACATGATAAGGACAATTTTATTGTTGCAGTTGACCTTTCGTTGTACAGACGTATCATAAACGCTCCTTGATGATGACGTCCTTCTCGGTTCTTTGCTTTTCCTTGAGTTGCTCGCAGAGCAGAGCACATCATATGGGATTATGCATGTTTATTCTAGTCCCACTTTTTAAAATACACAGGCTTTTTTTAGAAATGGGGACTTGTTTTTTTAATGTATGGGGACAGAAGATATAAAGGGAGAATCTGAAGCGGAGTTTTTGAAGGTTAACATTTAATTTTTTTACTTCATGTGATTTAGGCAAAAGTTTAGAGAACAAATTGGTTTTCCACTCAGCACTTCATGCACAATTTGAATCATGACGTCGATTGCAATCCCCCCAATGTAACAACACTCCCTTCCCATTTGTATTGTTTCCTGCCTTCAAAGCTTCATGTGTGGGCACATTCTGCCACTTAATCTCTTTGATCTCTTAGGGTTGGTTTGTCTAAGGAGTCTGGCGGTATTGTATCCCATACAGGCCTATCTGTTGTTTGGCTGAAAGTTGAGGCTTGAAGGACCGTAATTTCAGATGTTCCACCAGTCTCCTCAGACCAATAAGCCTCATCTCTTATGATTCTGAGTTTTGTTCCACATTTTCTTCCCACTCCATTGTGGGCCCTTTCATAGCAGTCAGTGAGTAGACAGGGACCATCTAACTTCCTGGTTTCAGGATTGTGGAGGCTTTGGGTCAGGTTCCTTAGTCCTTTGAACTAATTAAAAACCCATTTCTAATGTTAATAGATTAGACCATTTAATTTCTAACATTCATTAAAACTTGCTGATGTTTTCCTTCAACAATGATGTTGCGTTCTAAGGGTATATTTAGGAGAGAGACTTATTTGACTTTGTCAGTAAGAATGTTTGAAATGTCTCTCAGGACATTGAATGCCTTCTGAACTTTCTCCCAATGTTCTCTCTGTTTATTCCTAGGACCTGAAGGCTATCTGCAAGCAGACACTCAAGAGTCCTCACACTTTGATTCTCAGCAGCAAGCAGTCTTGGAAGAGGAAGAGGTCATGATAGCTCATGCTCATCCTCAAGAAGCCTACAATGAATATGTACCCAGAGGGTGCAAGAATAAGTGCCATTCACATTTTCACGACACACTCGGCCAATCAGACGACCTCATTCACCACCATCATGACTACCATCATATTCTCCATCATCACCACCACCAAAACCACCACCCTCATAGTCACAGTCAGCGTTACTCTCGGGAGGAGCTGAAAGATGCCGGCATCGCCACACTGGCCTGGATGGTGATAATGGGTGACGGCCTACATAATTTCAGCGATGGCCTAGCAATTGGTATTCATCTCCTGTCTGTCCCTTGTTGGTTAACTTTGAAATGCCACATTAAAATGCCAATCACATTTTAATAAAGAATAAGTTGATTTAGATAAGACTAGTATTGACTTACAAGATTGGCAAAATATTTCCTTGGACTACTTTGCTGATATTCAATAAATTAGGTAGATATGATTATGGCTTAGGGACCCTGCCTATATTTGAACCTTTAAAACTGTGTCGTAATTTTCAAGTCTTAAGATGCGACTTTAACTTGAAGTATGTGAATTTTCCTCCCTGTGCATTGAAGTTCTAATATCCGTTGTATAAATTTTATATATCCAGGCAAAGGAATCATTTCATCATCCTATTTTTTATGCTAAAGAGAGTTTCATATATGAGTGGGCCTCAAAAAGTTTTTGGAAAATAGAATTGAAAGACAATGGAATTTTTTCCATGAACAGTTTGAAGCCCCTTCAGATTGAATGAGTTAAGTATGGACATGTATTCAAAGAAGATTTGGAGAGCTTTCGCTATTGAATTGTCATATCCTAGTGAGACATCATAGAAGTCATTACAAAGGCTAGTCACTTGCTGCTACGAGGAAATCATGACAGTGAGCAACTGAAGCCCGGAAAGGTTGGGGCCCCTTACCCAAGCACGCAGTGCTGTTTGGAAGTCAGGCTGAGAGGAGCCCCAGTCTGGGGCTTTCAACCAGGCTGTATCATGAATGGTATAAGATGAAAGTGCGGATGTGCAAATGCACAGTCATGATTTATAATTGATCAGCTTTTTGAAAGAGCGGGAGCTAGCTGTATTAGCCTTGCCTTACGAGCTTGTGAAAGACCCAGCAGCCATTAGTGTAATTACATAGTGACTCCCTGGAGGCCCGGGAAACATCGTTTCACTCCTGACTCTTGAACTTTTCTAAACACTTTGAATCTGTTCCTCTCTGAAATGTTAGATGGGAACAGGTACTCCTGAGGTTTGTAGAAGATGGTCTAATCATTCTAAGACATAGCTGAAGCTCCCCTTCTCCATCATACATGCTTGAGCTCCTTTAGAAAAGTTGAACCTCATTAAATGTCATTTTAAAATACTGATAAAGATAACAGTTTGAGCTGGAAGTTCTGTTTATTCACAGTAAAAATATAGTTCATTTGCCAAATTTTGTGTGCTGGTAAGATTAAACAAAACAAACCCGCAAAAAAATAACAGGGCCAAATTTTATCTGTTTGATTTTTACTCAGGTGCTGCTTTTACTGAAGGCTTGTCGAGTGGGTTGAGCACTTCTGTTGCTGTGTTTTGTCATGAGTTGCCTCACGAACTAGGTAAGAGTTCCATACAAGCCACGGCTGCCAGGGTCGTCTCTCCTAATGCCACTGGCTTCTGCTAATGATGGTTCCAGGGTCCAGAAGACGTCCTCTTAACTCCATGTGGTCTCCTCACTGTGCTACTATGGTTCACTTTTTACTGAACACAAATTTGTGTCCGTCAAAATCCTGCCCTATGGGTACAAGTACACAATTGCCCACATGGATATCTAGAGCCCCTTCCTCATCCCCTGCCAGGTGTCTTTCTACACTAGCATACTGGTGGTATTGCGGGCTGCTGTCTTCATACGCACACGAAGAATAAGATTGCAGGCTGTAAAAGAATATTTTCCAGGAGCAGAGGGAAGTTGATGAGTTGTGCTGTGATTAGTTCTTCCTATGGCCAGGGTTTAAAACATGGGTAGCTCTTACCCTACCAATTCAGCCTGCTCGCTCACAGTTCCCCAGAGTGCTTCTGGATCCCTATTCATGCCTTCTTTTTCCACTTGTGGTCACATACCCCTGACACTATTCTGACTGGTGTTCCTCAACATGTGCTTTACCATTAGCTGCCAACTTAATACTTACCCTGTTTCCCCGAAAATAAGACAGTGTCTTATATTAATTTTTGCTCCCGAAGATGCACTAGGTCTTATTTTCAGGGGGTATCTTATTTTTCCATGAAGAAGAATACAGTACACATTTATTGTTGAACACAAAAAAAGGAAATGTATTACCTGTATATGGTACAGCAGTAGTTGTGGATCTTCTTAAAGACAGTTCCCTTTGCTGAAGGAAATTATCCAGCCAGTGTTGTGAAGTCTTCGGGGGCTATGTCAAACTGGTGCCATTGCAAGGGCAGATTCTTGAATCTGAGCCCTATTCACAACCAAAGCCTTTGCTCTCCTGTCAACAACCCATTCACAGATCAGGTATTCCAGCTCAGAAAATAATGGTTACCAACCTGATCCACACTTAGGCTTTTTAGCATCTTCCTTGTCCACTTGTTCAATGAGGTTACCATACTCTGCTCATTATTTTCAGACCAATCGGATACTCAACATCTCTTTGCAGAAAGCAGTAAGATTCTGCCCCAAGAGTCTTCCACGATTCCTTTCTTGTACTCCATGGAGTAGCTTTTTCTTTTTGTGCTCATGTCTAGGGGTAAAAAAAAAAATGACACTGGGGTATCAGGGTGGGGAGAGAGGGATCACTTAAAATGACACAGGAGGATCAAAGGGGGGAATCAAAATGACACGGGAGAATCAGCGGGGGTGGGGTGGGGTGGAATCACCATCTTGTAACCCCTTCTGATCCTCCTGTGTCATTTTAAGTGATACCCCAGTGCCATTTTAAGTGATCTCCCTTCCCCCACCCCTGTGCCACTGGACACCTTCACCAGACATCCCCCCCACCCCTTTATCAGACGTTTCCCCCTACCTCACGCACCCCTGTGTCCACACAATGTGCCCAACTCCTGCCCTGCGAGACTCACTAATTGTGAGTCAGCCAGACTCCCTCAGGGCAGAGCAAGCAGCAGGCCGCAGCTTGTCCTGTGGGCGGGCCGGGCTCTCTGATTAAAAGAGACCTCGCACTTCCTGTCTGCTCCAGCTGTGCTGCGCCCGCTGTTACAGTCCAGAATCCAGATGTCTTACTTTGGGGAAACACAGTAGAATCTGTTAGCCGCTGGTGTGTGTTCCCCATTTTCAGTCTTCCATGCCCTGTGAAAGCTTCCTTAACGATTACTACCTTCATTTTAATGATAAGTTGTCTTTATCATTTGGCGATAATTCCGTGTATCTACTCCCTTCTCCCTTTGCAGACAGTGCAGGACACAGTATTAGGTTCTTGATATTTGCCTGTCGTTGACAAAGTTGAAGCCTTATGAAAAGCTAGGTATATGATCCATTAGCTTATAAAGCTGTTAGAAGAATTATCACTGCTTTAACCTGGGTAGTTCTTTTTTTCTTTTTCTTTTTTAAATCATTTTATTGGAGGCTCATACAACTCTTATTACAATCCATACATACATCCATTGTGTCAAGCACATTTGTACACTTGTTGCCATCATCATTCTCAAAACACTTTCCTTCTACTTGAGCCCTTGGTATCAACTCCTCATTTTCCCCCCTCCCTCATGAACCCCTGATAATTTATAAATTACTGTCATGTCTTACACTGTCCCAACATCTCCCTTCACCCATGTTTCTGTTGTCCTTCCCCCAGGGAGGGGATTATATGGAGATCCTTGTGATCGGTTCCTGCTTTCTACCCCATCTTCCCCTTCCCCTTCTGGTATCACTACTATCATTATTGGTCCTGAGGGGTTTATCTGTCCTGTGGATTCCCTGTGTTCCCAGCTCTTAAATGTACCAGTGTACATGCTCTGGTCTAGCCGGATTTGTAAGGTAGAATTGGGATTATGATAGTCGGGGGAAGGAAGCATTAAAGAGCTAGAAGAAAGTTTTGTGCTTTATCGTTGTTATACTGTACCTGACTGGCTCATCTCCTCCCCACGGCCCTTCTGTAAGGGGGTGTTCAGTTGCCTACAGATGGGCTTTGGGTCTCCACTCTGCACTCCTGCTCATTCACAATGATAAGATTTTTTTGTTCTTTGATGCCTGATACCTGATCCCTTTGACACCTTGTGATCACACAGGCTGGTGTGCTTCTTCTATGTAGGCTTTGTTGCTTCTCAGCTAGATGGCTGCTTGTTTATCTTCAAGAATTTAAGACCCCCGATGCTATATCTTTTTATAGCTGGGCACCATCAGCTTTCTTCACCACATTTTCTTATACACCCGCTTTGTCTTCAGCGATCATGTTGGGAACCTGGGTGATTCTTGATTTTGAATTCTTCCCCCACCTTCACCCCCCAACACACATTAAAAAAAGAAAAGAAACTGGAGAATTTTTTTTTTAATTTGGAAAGTTTCTTGGGGGGGTGTGCCTTAAAAGTTATTTTCAATTACTTTATTTTCTCTCCCCTCCCTCCCCTTTGTTCTCTTAAAGGTGACTTTGCTGTTTTACTCAAGGCTGGCATGACTGTTAAGCAGGCTGTGCTTTATAATGCTTTGTCTGCCATGCTGGCTTATCTTGGAATGGCAACAGGAATTTTCATTGGTCATTATGCTGAAAATGTTTCCATGTGGATATTTGCACTTACTGCTGGCTTATTCATGTATGTTGCTCTTGTGGATATGGTAAGTTTTTAAAAGTCAAATTGTATTCCTCACTAACCATAAAATAGGGAAAATGCTTGGTAAAATCCCTTTTGTTTAAATATTGTAGATTAATATGGTATTAATGGGAAGGTTTTTTTTCTATACGTATGTTGAATATAGTATACAGATTGCATAGTATGTATCTTTTTGAGTTGTTCACAAGCATAGCTGTTTCACTAGTGATGTTAGCATCAGATACACAAAAATATCTGCCTGCTTCTCCTTTGTCTTTCTGAGAATAAAATCCCAGAGAGCAGATATTGAATTGTTAGTAGATTCAGAGAAACCTGCCCCAAACCACATATGGCCAGCATGCTGTGTGTGCTTGCAACTGTATATACTTAGAAGCTGTGTATACTATGTATATTTACCTGCTGTGTACACTTAAAATATCTAGAGATTCCTTATTAGTAGACAAGAGAATCACAGTGAAGTGCACACATTAATCCCAACCTCTGTAATCACAAATTGTATTTTACATGGTGTAAGGTGTTCCGTATCTCTGAACTTCAAATGAGCCTCATGTATTCAGATACACAAGTAGTAACAAACTGGACCCACTTTATAAAATTTTTGACGTGCAGCACACCATGAATAATCTTTGTGAGCAAACTATTGGGGACACTGTAGCTGTACTAGCTAGAGTCAGCCTGATTGTGGTCATGTTTGAAAGAATTGAACTATGACAAAACTAGTTCCAAATTAAGCACTAATATGTTATCCTACAAATCCTTTCAAAATCAAATCTCTTTCTGGAAACTTTAATGTTCTGTTTGTTTTCTTCTCCTAAGGTACCTGAGATGCTGCATAATGATGCAAGCGACCATGGATGTAGCCGATGGGGATATTTCTTTTTACAGAATGCTGGGATATTGTTAGGTTTTGGGATTATGTTGCTTATTTCTGTATTTGAGCATAAAATTGTGTTTCGTATCAACTTCTAATTACAGTATAAATGGTAGAGTAGCTTTAAAAAGCATTGCCATTTATAGTTTAAATAGGTCATAGGGAGGTGGCAGTTTGTATGCTGTAATATGCAGCACTTAAGGTTAGTGTGTTTTTGTCGATTTTGTGTTGAATAGTGTCATATGATATACTTATAAGGTCAATTGTGGTGGTAACAAAGGTACGTTTTACTATTTAAGTTATTTGGGGAATATTAAGCTATATGTGCAATTCACCAATATTACCAGTTTACTGTATAAACGAGATTTGGCATGGTATGTCTTGTATATTTCAGGGGAAAATGTCATTAATGGTTTTTTTCCCCTTGAACTAATTTAACACAGTAATTCCCATGCTGGATTTTAAACCCCTGAAGAACTACTGGTGTTTAAGAGTAAGACTGTGCCCAAAGCCTAAGATACCGAAGAAATTTCTACTGAATTTAAGCTAGAAAATAAGGAGAAAAGGGGAAGAACCATTCTGACAGAATTGAAGAAGCATAGATTTCTTTATAAAATTGCAAAACTGGCTATATGATAAAAGGAGGAAAACATTTGTATTTAAATGGATAAAGGCAAAATTAATCCAATATCAAGTGCATTCACATTTTTGTCAGGGTTACTGCCCCTCTAGAAACACAGTGACCCCTTTTATACGTGAGTTGTTCGTGTAACTGCATAAGAGAGAAGACTACATTTATTGGGTGAAGTGCAGCAATAAAACTAATTGGCTAAGAAGTTGAAATTTTAGAATATTTTTGTGGAAATATACCAGAGAAGTGCAGTAAGAATAAATCCTTGTATCGCTAGACGCCTTGGGCAATATGATTATTTGGTGGTCTGGCTTATCAATGCCAGAGCATATGACTTTTGGACTATTCAAGGAGATGAAAAGCAATAGTGAGTATAATTTGATTACTTAGATTCAAGAAGTACTCGGGTATCTTTCAGAGCTTCAGTGTTGTCAGTTCATGGTACTGCAGACAGACTGGGGCTATCTGTGGTCTCTGGATGTTGCTTTTCTGATAAATAAACCCCCCGTGTCAAGATTGATGCCAAATGTGTGGTTTCTGATGCCAACATACCAGATTGTAATATACTTGTCAATTCAAATATGTTACTCTATTGAGGGGCCTTCCTCAGTTTTTAAATTCATCATCTATGAGACAGTTAAAAAACAGAGCCCATAGTTTGCTCCCACTGATTCCAACTTTTTAATACGCACAACCTGATGCTGGAGAAGAGACGATAGTACGCTACATTGTAGAGACAGAAACGAATACTTCAGACGGCTCCCGACCTTCCTGCGAGTGTTCATCTTTAAGAGACAACGAACCAACACCTCTGCACCCCAAATCAAGTGAAGGGACATAAGGGGGGAGCAGGAGACTTCCTTGAGCTGAGAATGTCTGCAAGACTTTGAGGGGGCATTTATTTTTCCACTGATAAATGCTCTGCTGTAGAGATCTCTAGATGAGTGCAAGGTGAGGAATTTCTGGGGACACCTACAAATGTTCCTCTAAGAATCGGCCCAACAAAGAAACTTGTGCCTAATCCTTTTGGGAAATTCTAAGGTGGGAAGTGTGCTGTACCAGCTGGAAAAACAGGATGAGTAGGAACCATGGTTTCCAGTCCAGTACAAACCCTTAGTGGGAATGTGGAAGAAATTTGAAGTGTCATTCCAGTGACTCCAGGGAAAACAGATAGATGCAAGGGCATGAGCGGGAAATGCAGAAGGTATAGTATATGGACCCAAAGCTGCTATTTTGGAAGGCAAAAATATAAAAAAAATAGGAAGGTCTGTTAGTATCTTGAATGAAAAAGATGGGTACAGTACAATCAAGCAACCATGAAGGCAAATGATATAATGGAGAATTTAATTTGGATTAATTTTCTGAAAAAATGTCCACATGAAAAACAGCAACTTTTAAAAATTAATCACATTAAAATTCCTTCTTTCCCTAAGGTACAAAGCCCAGTTTATAGTGAATTTTACCAAATCTTCAAGGATCACATGTCTTAATTTGTCCAAATAGTTTCTGGGATGGAAGAAAAAATTGCTCAACATGTTCATTACAGTTGAGTAACCTTGATACCAAATCCTTGTTGGAAGAGACCATCTGCGCTGGCCCCTAAGACCCCCTACACATTTTTTGCTGGATATATCAAGAATGTAAAGCCCTGACTATATGGAACCGTTTGGTTCTCCACCTTGAAGACTAAGAGAATGTCTTCATCTGAACCATGTAGGCCGTGTGTGGAGGAGTAGAATCCCCAAGGTCAGTCAGTGCTCCTGTGCTGCTCCACAATCTCACTGCCTGTAGCATCTGCCTGCTCTGTCACTGTCCCTGTGGGATCTGGTACCAAGGGGACTTGTAAGTCATGCTGATGCTGCTTGCAGTGCTTTGAGCAACAAGATCATGTGTCTGATCAGGAGGCTCTTTTCTGCCCACACCCATGAAACGGTAACTAGCCAACTCTAGTTTGTAGGTACCGTAGTACAAAACTCCAGACC